ACCGCCACGCATTTAGAACCCAGTGGGGGTTTTCACATGTTGTCTTGTCGAGGGGGGGGGGAGGGCGGAGAGCCACACTAGAGGCCACCAGGGACCGTCAGTGGCCCGCGGGCCTCGCAAATGAAGAACACCAGCGCCTGAACGAGGTACGTGCGGGCTCAACCGGTCCAGACTTGGCCTAAGTTTTCGAGTGTGCGCATTTAATGGCGTTTTAAATAAAATGAGAAAAAAAAATCGCGTGACGCTGGCAAACATTGAGGATTGATTTCAGGAGAGTTTCAAGAGTAAGTTGTGAAATGTACTCCGCAGTATAATTACACATTTGTAATTGGGTTGGCTGGTAGTCGCTAGCTCTTTACTCTGATTCTTTCGGTAAAGTCACAAACCTTCTGTCTACCATCAAATATTTGTCCATGAAGTCATCCAGATATATAAACACGGAGACAATTTCAACCGATAAGATGGGTATAAGCTGAGCAATCATTGGAAGGACGTTATTAACCAAGCAACGTCGTAACCAGCTGTGGTGCTTCCATTCTTCCATGCCGTTTGGCTGTTTATCTCCGACTCTCTGAGTTGCATTGCCCTGTTGGGTGCGTCTGCATTAACGGGCTGGGGTCTCACTAACATGGCCACCTCTGTTCCCTTAGCCTCGATGTATCGATGGTTCTGGCTGTGTGATTGGCTTTGTGTCTCACTGACGCGACCACCGTTACGGTGGTTCTCTTGCGTGGACGCGCTTGCCTCTCACAGCGCAATTGGCAGCGCTGCAGCTTGTGGTACACATAGACATGACATTAACTTGTTTGCAAAAGCAAAACATGAAAGTAAGATTTGGTACAGTACACAATTCAAAAACTAGCATCTTGCACTAAAGCCAAATTGCCTAAATTACTAACAGAAGGTGTATATCGGATTAATTGTTTGTGTTGCAGATGCTATATTGGTCAGACGGGACGTAACATCAGCGTAAGACTAAAAGAACACCAAATAAATATTAAATTATCTCAAACACAACTGTCGGCAGTGGCAGAACATGCTTGTCAACAAGGACACTCAATTGATTTTGATAATGTTGAAGTGTTGTGTCAAACTAATTATTACTGGCCAAGACTAATTATAGAATCCATTGAAATTGAGAGAAATACAAATAACTTTAATCGCTCTGACAGCTACAGGCTTAGTGCGGCCTTGAAGCGTATTATTAAATAAAATATATATTACAATTCCTTATAGGGGAAAAAATACTAATTTATAACAATGGAATGATTACCAATCTATTATATAATTACAATACCCTCCCCCTCTCTGCCTCAAAGCACTGCACCTGATTTATTTAAATGATGACGTCACCCTGCTGCTGCTCTATTTAAGACCGGGAGCAAGTGGAGGGCTTCACCATTCTGGCAAATTGCCCGATGATGCTGGATGTAATTACCAGCGAAACGTCGTACTCAAAAAATTGTAAATGATGTTGAATCACTCTTCAACACACAGGTGGACTAAAATAGTGAACTATTTGTCTTTTGATTTAAAGCTTTCGTGACTGCAGGGATTCATATTCTTGGTTCTTTCAGTAAAGTCACGTAGAAGGGAAACAATAAAAAAATAAAAAGAGCTCCAAAATCTTGAACAAACACAAGATCCAGGTCCGATTCAACACATTACATAAAATCCGTGATCTGGTTCCGTCTGTAAAAGATGTGATCCCAGACATACAGTACCCTGGCGTCTACAAACTAAGTTGCCTCTGTGGTAGTAGTTACATTGGAGAAACCAAACGCCATGTCTCGGCGGACCGCATTCGTGAACACAAAGCAGACCTGAAACACGGTAGGACCAACACCTCGGCTGTGGCAGATCACTGTTATAATTCAGTAGGTTCACATGACATTGACTTTTCCAAGACAGAGGTTATTTGCAAGCCATCTGGCTACCATGATTTGTTCATGAGGCTATCCACATATACAAACACAGACAATTTCAACCGAGAAGATGGATTCTGGCTTAGCAATCATTGGAAGGATTTGATAAACCATTTCGGGTCTTAATTGATTGATCACACTTAAGGTGACTTTCAGACCGCATCCATTATTTTTCGTCTCCCCCCTCCTCTTTTCCGAACATAGATGGACTCGTCCATCTGAACAAACTGTTAAATCGCTCTCCGTGGTGCTCACCTTAAAAAACGCCACTTTTTTAATTTTCTTGTTGTGGGTTTCACACCTGATGATGATTGCTTGTGTTGCAGTCGAAACGTCGTGAGAATTTTATTATTTTATATTTTTATGATTTTATTGTTTCCCTTCTACGTGACTTTACCGAAAGAACCAAGAATATTTGTCTTTTGTAAACGTGACACTTTTTTTTTACTGATTGGCCGTGTCGGTTGGTGGAGTGTTACGACACATTTATAAATAACGCGATCTAACCCAAAAACGTTGATTATGAATATTGGTCACGAGAGCCTACGTGTTAAGCTGACATTAACTTGCTAATCCCCCTAATCTCCCTGCCTAATCTCCCCCATCAACATAGCGCTAATCTCCAATGAACACTGCTGTTGTGCGCATATGTGGGGACGATACTCTTATGCGGCGACGGAAGCTCATTTAATGCTAATCTCTCTCATTAATCATCCCCCATTAACACAACTGACGTGTTTGCGTCCAGAGATGGAAATCCTTTCCAGCTCAGGCCCCGCTTGCTTGCCCATCGCCACATAAATAACCTCTTGTTGTTGTAACAGCTCTCGCTCTGGTCCAGCAGTTCCACTGCTGGATTATTTTTGTCCGCCTGAGGACGACCGCTTGTGTTGCGATCGAAACGTCGTGATACATTATTTTCTGTTAAATTGTATTTTTCTACCTACGTGACTTTACCGAAAGAACCAAAGAGTATGGATTCCTGCAGTCACGAAAGCTTTAAATCGATAGCTCTTGTTAAACTAATTTAAGAAACATCGTTCATCTTGCGTGTAATCCTGTAACTTAAAACAAATAATTGTAGCATACCATTTGCGTAAATGTTACGCGTAAAATATGATTCTGCCGTTTGGGAAGTTTCGTGTTTTTTAAAATAAATTATTGGGTTTTGTTGTGTCGCCTGCCAGGAGGGGGGTGGTAGATGGGGAGGGGGGGTAGATGGGGAGGGGGGTGGTAGATGGGGAGGGGGGTGGTAGATGGGGAGGGGGGTGGTAGATGGGGAGGGGGGTGGTAGATGGGGAGGGGGGTGGTAGATGGGGAGGGGGGTGGTAGATGGGGAGGGGGGGTGGTAGATGGGAAGGGGGGGGTGGTAATGGGTAGGGGGGTGTGGTAGATGGGGAGGGGGGTGGTAGATGGGGAGGGGTGAATGGGGGGGGGGGCTGCACGAGGAGCGGCTCGAGCCTCTGTGAGCCTCTGTGACTCAACGGAGCTGGGGAGGTTCCCTTCGGCATGCGCGGCTGTCCGTGGGGGCCGCGGTGCGCGGTACTCAAAGGGAGCGGTAGTGCAGCGTTGGCGCTGGAACGGGATGAGATGAGTCCGTGTTGCCTCTGTGTTCGAGCATGGATCGACCTTTGTATCGTTTAATAATCGGTCTGTTCCCGTTTAACGGAGCATCGGATCCCGTTCCAGTGTTCATTATGGACAAAGGCACGCCAAATTACTCGGTGTGGGCCTAAAACATGAACACAATGTATCGTTCATTCTGTCGCGGATTCATCGTATTCTGAAGCGAAGTGCTACGGAACACTTGCGCGGATTTTGCGAGGGGGGGGGGGGCGCACGGGGGGGGGGGGATGCAACGCCCCCCGCCCTCAAACTGAACACTTTTATTAAATAATTTTCAGTAGTTTACCATTAACATTAGAAAATACCTCAATGAAATGCAACCCCCGATTCCTAAGGTACAAAGCGTACCCCTCCCTCCCCCACACCTATGTCGGAACCCGATGAACAGAGTTCGATTCCCGCTCACGGCCAGTAACAATTATCTGAATCGTTTTCGGGCCTCCCCTAGGTTGGCTCGACCTCAAATGAGTACTGTACCTGGTACGGTTTAAACGTGGCCGGGTGTGGTGTCAGCCCCACCGGCCGTGGCGGCCTTCGTAGGTGTGGTGCTCGCTCACACAGCACTTGCCCCAACAGTCGCCCCCGTTGAGGCTGCACGGGGGGTGATCTTTGTCTTCCGTGCCGCAGATCTATTTGTGGCAGCCATCCTTGTCCGCGTACACGTACGTGGCAAGAGGACCACGATTTCATGGCTCGTCTGGAAAGTGCCTAGTTCCACAGGGTCCGAGTTGACCTGTGACATCTTACCGTGGGGCCTTGTTCTGAAGTTGTACACTCTGGGCAAATGTGATCGCGTTAAGGTGTGGAGGCGGCATAAACCACGACTTGTTACGATTGGGGAGTTGCAAAATGCAAGCTTGGTAGAATAACTTTCTATGGAACGTGTCACTGTGTAGCATTGCTTGATGGGTTTGTTGTTGGGTATCATCGTAATTATGTTCTGATCGCCCGGCATCTGTTTAATTAATCATTTTTAAAGCCACAGCTTTGCCTTTAAAACCCCGGGAGGAGAAAAAACTCTCACCAGGTTCTATGGCAGGGATGGGGAACGTCCGGCCCGCGGGTCGTATAAGGCCCGCGAAATCATTTGGTCTGTTCCAGCCATCACATTAGGGGTGAGTTAATTAAATGTTTGACAAAATATAATAGGCTAATTTTTAAGTTGATAATTTTGTATAGCCCGCGAATGACTTTATAAATATCCAATTGGCCCTGCAGAAAAAAAGGTTCCCCACCCCTGTTCTATGGGAACGTGGGTCAAGTCATTCACTTTCATCACCCTCGGCAATCAATCCTGCAACCGCGGGACCGTTGCTATAAAAAATGCCCCCCCCCCCCCTCTGGCCTACGAACTTAATAGGGTAATTTCCCAGGTAAAGCCCATTGAGCCAACAAGCGCTTTTTTGTTGTTTAACGGCGACTTCGCCGGCAGACAACAGCGAAACATTCCACAATGACAGACTTGCTTTTATTGATTAAGCCATCGCCGCCGATAATGAATGACAAAGGAGCGCGCAGAGACCAGTTGGGCTTTCCGCGTAGTTTAATTTATATGTACACTGACAGAAGGAACAGGGGCGGCGACACGCGGCTCGCCCGGAGTACATATCCGGGCGACCTTGTAAGGCTGCTGTGGGGTGCAGTGCGGGAAGGGAGTTGCAGTCCGTACAACATAATACTCTCGAGAAAACTCACTAGGAACTGCACCCTGGAGGTTTAGGGTTGAAATATGGATCGGGGAGGGTAATTGGGAAGGTCAGAATGTCCAAGATGCACACGTCTCGGGAACGTTGGATTTCTTCCGCGGGTACAGATTCAATTAATTTGCTAATTGGGACTTGCATGTCGTGCCGTGGGTGTGCATGTGTAATGTAATGGGGAGCAGTGGTTCAATCACACGGTGACCCGGGTTCAACTCCTGGCCAGGCAGCTTAATGGGGGAATCCGTTGTATGTACAGGAGTGCAGTGTGGTGCACGGTATGGTGGTATTTGGTGATGCAGCAAGTAGGGTCTAATATACTGAATGGCACTGGGGTATGTGTGTGTGTATCTTTACTTTAAATGTACAACGTACCAAATATTTTTTTACGTGTACAAATATGCAATAACCAATAAAAGGCATGAATTGTAAGTGTACAGTATATAACCTTGGCTATATTGGATGTGTACCAGGTAATGATAAATTGGTTAACCCAAAACATCTAGATTTGTCCTGGGAAGTCCTATGGAAATTTATGTCTGTCCTGTGAACTCCTATGGGTGAGCTTCATGTGGCCTTTAAGTGCACCTAGCCTGGCACAAGTGCTTTGCTACTTGGTGGCAGTAATATAGCTGCAGGCAATTGGGGGGGGGGGGGGGTCCTCAATCTGTCGCACCTGCAGGAAAAAGGATTATGCATCATTGGAGCTATCCAGTATGAGGAATTGAAAATCAGATTCTTACATGCATAGCTTGGCTAACAATCTCTATCATTGTCTATTGTTAAACCCACAATGGTTACTGCAGGGCGAAATATAAGTGGCATACTGGAGATGGGATATGCAAACTTGTCCAAAAGGAATTAAATCCAAGCCTCCGTAGACGTGGGAGCAAGGGCAGTAACTCTTCCATCACACTAACACTGACGCGTACCAGCAGTTTCACTTACACAACAATCCCTCGACACAATCGAATGATCGCCACGCGCTCTCAGTTATACACTTTAGCAACGATGAATTGTAAACCATACCGAAAGTTTAAGTTAGCGCTATCACTCACACTAAAAAACAACATGTATAATACACAACCCGCAAAAACGAATTAATTAGGACAAGGATATCATTAGGCTACAGACAAGGATCAAAGCAAATGTACATGAAGTAGATGGAGCAGATTCAAACGTGTGCTTTCCTCTGAAACATCACAAAGTGGAGAGCTGCAGTCAACACTGAACTTGTGATGTCGTGAAAATCCAAACTCGCTTCCTAAAGGCGCAGACCTGCAAATGCCACCACTGCTGGTGGAAAGGCCTCCACCATAGGGAGTTAAAAAGCCCCCTCTCCCTGGCGTATATTTTGGCCTACTCTTCCACGCTGACCAGATATCTTGGAAGAGGCGAGTACCCACACTTTACCCACTAATTGACTGTCATTTAAACACTTTTCATACTTCTGGGTAGACATGGACAGAGGAATTTAAGATAATTGCACCACAGTTTGAGCTGCCGTGCCTGGAGAATCAGACTGGCGCTGCTAACCGCCACACCGCTGCTGCAGCAGCGCGTCTGAAATTGGCTACAAGGCAACAACAATAAAAAAATGCAGAACCTTGACTACATAGATGGCCCTCCAAATTAATCAAAGTCCGGGTACGCCAGAGAACTTGGGTGGTGTTCAGTGGTGACACTGCAGGGCAACGCAGTTATAGGCTGTCTGCTGAGGGCAGCATGGCAACTTAAGTTGCACTGTAGCATGCTGTCATGTTAATGCTCCCCAACCCTTCCACTCTGCATTTAGCAGCGTGGTGAAGTATGGTCAAATAGGCGTAATGTGACTTTGTAAGACGACCAATTCTCTTGATGGGTACAGCGTCGTGTTTATTTATATAAAGGAAAATGGTTTGGCCCTGCAATGGGGCTACGGAACTAGTAGTATGCTGTGCTATTTAACTTTGGCTTCACAACAATGCACACGCGCTGTGCTTGTATTTGCTTTCAACTCGAGCTGTAGGTCCGTGCGTGTGTATTTATATAATCCAACATTTTGTGCAGTCGATTACTCGGAGTCCTTTACAAGTAGCGCAAGCCACAGGAAAACTCCACGCGAATCCACGCCCAAACATGAGGCCGATGCCGAGAACACCACAAGGCCCTGCCCATCACCTCCCATCCAGTAGCGCACGTCGTGACCGTGGGGATGAGACTTTCCCCCACCCCTGCCCAAATATATGCATGTTTTTTTTCTCCCGATATTTAGCAGATCAGAGCCTCTGTAACTGATAATGGCTCAATGATTGGCTAGTCCAGCTCTACTGTCAACAAAGGGTGCATAAAAATGTACCACACTAGGTTCACGCAGGCGCAGGGTTCATTGCTTGGGTTCCGAGTAATTTTTAAACGGCGATAAGTTGCACAAACAGCGCCGTATTGGATGTTTGTACGATGAAAAGTTGTATTGGCTGTATAAACCCCAGACTAAAGGATATGTTGGTCTTTAAGTATGCACTTTAGGCTGATTGACTAACACTTCAATAAATCTTCCATAAGACACTATTTGCCGCCAATGACGTTCAACATGAACATTTCCAAAGCGCCCAATTACTTTCTGAAAGATATATCTGAGTTTAATATGATCCCGTTGCGTTAATTACCCACGCGATCTTAAGTCTAAACCAAGGCTAAAATAATTAATACCATTAACCTTAAGCTAATGTTAATCAGGGTTACTCGTAACATTATCCCAGACTTGTGGTATTTGCCATCTGAATGTCCATTGCGAAACCTCTTCCACAGCTGCGCTGAGTGTACACCTGCCCAAGGCACCGTCGTTCTTCAGACACAGGAAGCGGTTCTGAGCCAAATTGCCACTGGGCAACGCCAAAAAACGACGACAACAGAATTACCCCACATTGGGGCTTAGTAGACCAAAGCTCACCAAATCCTCAACCGGTGTTGCATCAATCCAGCCGTTCGGCGCTCTGGAGAGTAATCTGCTGTTGCGTTCAGAATGTCGCAGTTCGGATCCAAAGTCGGGGGTCGATTCAACCCATCATGCTTCCTTGGGGTTAAAATAAGTAATGCTTTGTGGGAGGTCAGAATTGGTAATCCCATGGGGATGCTGGCAGCTGCCATTGGAATGCAGAAATGTCACCAGTGGCTCGGGCGCCACCAATGGAAACGGCTCTTTGTTAATTTAAAATTAACTTTTAATTTAGTTTTCAGCCATTAGGGCACAAGGCTTGCAGAGATGCAACAGAGAGGGCTGGCACCACCTCGGGCCCCACAACAGGTTACGAACGCATTTAGGCTCAACATAGATTAAGGGATTATAAGTACTTAATTATTACGTTGTCATTTTTAAAAAGGCAAGGCAGCTCAAGGACGACGAAACGACGACAACAAAAATACCACGAGAAAGTCACATACTGCGGGAGAGAACTGGCGCGGAGACAAAACGGCGAGCGCAGTTAACGGGTCCCTGAGTTCGGGGTTGAGACGGCGGCGCCGCCCCCGTGCATGGCTATCGGCGTCCCCCAGCAAAAAACATCGCGCCAACGCAAAAAAAATCACTACTCCGTAGGCTGACTGTTAAGCGGGCGAGACTACCCCCCCCCACCACCACCCCTACCGACCTCCGTTGTGCACGGCGCAGCCCAAATTGCTTGTCGCTCTCCGACGTGTTTCTCGCTTCGGTGTTCAGAATGAAAGAAGCTCCTGACCAGGTGGAGCGAAACTTCTGCAGTTCCTGAAAGTGCTCGGCGCACGGTGCAAGACGACTGACATGGTGCCGGCTAACACGTCGCGGGAGGTACAAAACCGGACTAAACACTTGCGCTGTAATTGCTCTTATTGTCGAGGCAGGTATCTAGCATGGCGAAATATTGTCAAATCAGCCCCATGGGGGACTGGGGCGGTCCTCGGTAACAGCAACGTTTTAGGCGCACCACCATAGAAACCAGTGGTGTCACTGCAGTGTCGGCACGTAAAACATTTCTTTACGGGCATCGTACTGCAAAAACCTCGACTGGCTAGGGTAGAGCACCAAGAAAGTCACCTAAACAGGTTTCCTCTCCTTAATGAAGTATACATTTGAGGGATAGCCCAGGACACAGCCTCTGTTGTTTGGGTTTCGCCATGATCCAGCCAAGCATTGGGACAGATCTGTTCCCTAGTTGGCATGTGCAGGTGTGACTTGTATACCGGCCTACCCACCATAAGGTATTCAGTGTCCATGTGCTTATATAATCACAACTACAGTATCTGCTTTGTGCTACAGCCCATTATCCATACCCTAGGGGTGGCGGTGTCTGACGGATGAGTACCACCTGGGAAGTTTCTGCGTGAAGGATGGACGAGGCCTTGCCACAGGGAATGAGGGATTTCCACCCCTTGATGGTTATATAACCATGAAGGGCAAATGAGCACGGTCCAAAAGCTTGCTAAAGCTTGGCACTGCGTTAATGTTTTGTATTGTGTCAAAATGCGCAGGGCCCACTCGGTGTAGAGGGAGGCCCCTATTAATTCGTATGCGGGTCTTGAAGTCTGGCCCTCCATGGGTATGTGCAGCAAAGCATTCTACGCCTGGTGTACAGTCGGGAAAGCGCCGGCAGGCTAATCGCATCTTGCAGGAGTGAACCAAGGAAGATGGCACACCATGGATGTGCCTTAGGGAAGCCCGCACAACAAGCACTGTTCAGTACCTATTATTATATTTGTTTCTGTTTCCTTTGTCGAAAGGCAACTTTGTACCCGGCAGGTTTTTCCACGGCCGAGGTCCCAAATCGCTGCGTTCTCTTTACAATGTACCGGGCGCGCGCTTACAAAATGTAACATCTTCCAAATCATTTTGTTTTTGGCAGAGCACACCCCACGCATCACAGTACACCACGCACACCACAGAGCTGGGACGAACCCAGGCATTAAAACACGCATGCTCGTCTCGCTCGCAAACGCACACGCCCGCAGTGTTCCATACGCTTGCCGTTATTTCTGGGAATGCCGCAGGGTCGCATTCACGTGTAGGACCACAGAAGAGGCTGACGTGTACCACGTACCATCGCGCTGCCCTTTGCCCGGCTTCTCGAGTCAATGCTAGGCACAGCTGCCCATCCCCGGCACGTTGGTAACCGCGCTCACTGGCCTGCTGCTCGCATTGCAGTGCGTTCCACGGGAAGCATTCGCGTGAACAGTTTGAAAGGGAAAAACAAACTAATTTGGTACAGCAACGACAATTGCAAATAGCAGGACGCAATTTTTGCTCGCACCGCGTCCATCAAGTACCAACAAATCGCCGCGTGGAGGCTCTCGCACTTGTACCAAATTCTCTGCTGCTGCTGTGGTCACGATGGCTTTCACAACCATGGGTTTGCGCCACCCACAGCAGCGGTGCCGTGGCTAGCGCAGATGGTCACCTGCAGTGATGGCTCTTGGGGGGAAGGCAGATGGCCCAACGGGCAAGTTCTTTGGGGCCACTTGGAGGTTACAGAGAAAGCTTGCTCACTCGCAAAGCCATTGGCTCAATCGTACAGCTGCAATTGTGCAGGGACCCGAAACACATTTGTATAAAAGTACAATGCACACAACCAGCTACCTGTTCACAATGTCCCGAATTTCCTTGGTGCAAGCTAACAAGCTTGTGAGAGCCTGTGAGCCCGTACCACCCACACCACCACCACCCTGCAGCTCACGCAGGCCGCTCTCCAGCTTGCCCAATGCGGTCAAAAGCGCAAACTTCCTTGCAGGCTGCGCCAAGTCCGCATACAGCCGGCACCGTTCCGACAGCTTCTGCCCAGCCTCTAATATCGCCTGCGCTTGGGTCGCGCCGGTGGACAGCGACCTCTGCAGGCCGTCCAGGCACTCGACGACTCCCTCCTTGCTGCTGGCGGGCGGCACCAGGGTGGCGTCGCCAGCGTCCGGGCTGGGTGATCGCTTCTCGGGCGGCCTTGCGGTCCTGCGCAGGGTTACGAGCGACGCCTGCTGCTCTCCAGCCGCCGACGTCCCGGGCGGTTTTAACGGGAGCGTTGGCTTGGTGCCCGGCGGCATCAGCGGCTTTTTCACACCGCCGTCGCCCGAGGCATCGCCTGCAGTGTCCGCGCGCTGGGGCGACCTGGGTTTGACAGGGGCGGCGCCCGCGCTCTCGCCCGCGGTTTGGCCTTCGGCGCCGGGACTGGCTGGCGGCTTGCCGACAGGTTTGGTGGCCGGCGAGGGCGGCGGGGGCGGCGGGTGGGACGGCTTGGCTTTGTGCTGGGGCCCCAATGGCTGCGCTTTATCCCGGTCTGTGTGCGGTGGAGACTTTTCTGCGGGCGGCCTGGCCTTCCTCTGCAGGGGCTCTGAGGTGGGCAGGAGACGGACGGCACCAGGAAACGTATTGTTGGTGGGGCCCCCTCCGGCCTTCGCGACGCCACCCGGCTGGGGTTTCCCCGCGGCCTCGTCGCCCACGCGCGGTTGCTTAAACTGCGTGCCTGGCTGCTTGCGCGTCACTTTGGGCGTCGTCCCGGGAGCGCTGGCCTCCCCGTCCCTGAACAGGCCGTTCTCCCCGTTGTCTTGGCTTCTCTGCTTCTGCAGAGGACATCGGCTGAAGAGCGCCAGCCTCTCCGCCAGGTCCCTGCACTTCTTGACCGGCTGGACCGTGCTCTCCACGCTGTCGGAGGCCCTGGCGCCGCCCACGCCCGGCGCTCGCTCCCGCTGGCCGTCCAGCGGCAGCGTGTGACACTTGCGCTCCATGTCGCCCGACCCGCCCTCGTTGGAGAACGACATGGATGAAGACCTGGAAAAACGGTCGAGTGATAAAGTCGCAACCGCCTGCTGCTGCTGCTGCTGCTGCTGCTGTTGCTTCTCCAAACGCTGCTGCAGTTGCTGCTGAACCACATTGTGCCGCGCCTTGCCATGCGGCGAGGCCTTGGGCAGCGGCCGCAGAGTGCAGAACGGAGAGACCGGCGCGAGCCGGTTCTCCTTCTCCCTGGCGTCACCGCGCGTGAACGTGGCGCGCGCGTCCAGGAATTCCTCGGACGAGCAGAGCGGCCCAAAGCTGCCATTCTCCTCGGCCCTCTCCGGCTGGCCGTCCGCGTCACGGAAGGAGCTGCTGCGCCTGGGAGGAGCCGGCGCCGTCTTCTTCTTCTTGGCCTTGAAGGACGGCAGGAAGAAAGAGGAGGCGGCGGTTGACGACGGCGGGAAGCCCCCGCCATGGACGTCGGAGTCGTCCAGGGTCGCCCCGCCCATTGTTGCCGCGCTGCCGCCACCACTTGCATTGCTCAGGACGTCGCGCATCTTCCGCGGCAGCTGTGGCGAACTGAAGCAGGCAGGGTCTGCTCGGGCAGGGCGAGACGACGTGGCACAGACAACGCATTACGTAGCTGTGACGTGGGCGTGCGCGTTGTCTGTCGGGGGCACTGTGGAGGTGACTCTAGGTGGATGGCACAATTGCTGCGAAACTGCCTTCCCACGCACGTTGACATCTAATTTTTAGAAGAGTTAACGCGTCTTGTGACTAGTTCAAGGTTCTATGTAAGAGCTTGGGGTGGTGTGGGGGGGGGGGGGCAGTTGGTGTTGCTCTCGTGGTGGTGGTACCTCGTTTGGGGATGGTCTCTGAGGACGCCAGAGAGGCGCCAAGCGTCGCGCCGGCGTCTCCACGTTCGGGCGGCCTCCTGATGGACCCCTTCTTGGCAGGCAGTTTGGGTGCCTGCATGCACGACGATCCGTTCCTCCCCAGCTCCTTCTCCACCTCTGCGCGCCACGGCGGTTCACAAGGGTGAGGTTAATCGCACAACGCCCGCGCAAAACCTACTTGTTCACAAGCGCGCAAAAGTCCCGATAATTCTTCGTGCTTTGATTTTTGGCTGGACGGATTAGGAAGGTTAATGCCACGCCAGGAGGACTCTGTACCTCCATGTACATTCACAGCCCTCTGGGCAATCCACTGCTAGATGTGGGAATTTCTGCGCATGTGCCAATTTTAGGCTCATTTGACCACACTTCACCACACTGGAAAGTGTGGCTTTGAAGGTATGGTGCGTGCACAGACGTATTGGCCCAACTGATGTTACTGCACTGCCTTCTACCAAAGGCTTAGCTCCACATCTTATTACCTATTACGCAAGGTGGCCACCCATCCAGCCTCAATGCTGCTTTAGCTTCAGAGATGTGACAATTCCGGATGCGAATTGTGGTCATCGGCAAGTATACGAAAGAAGAAAAAAACCACTGTACCTTCTGAGATGCTGGAATCATGGAACATGGTCTCGAACGTCTGGTGAATCTCAGCAAAGGATGGCCGGTCTGCTGCGTTCCACTGCCAGCCTACCACACGCACAATAAGGCTCACCCACCTTCTACAACCAACTCCAGCCCAGCAAGTGAAACAATAAAGATCCAGCACTTGAGTGAAGTTTGTCACGGGACCTACTTCTAACCTAACCTTGTCACTAACAGCAACAGAGATATTAAGATGTCGTCACCTCCGATCAAACTGCACACGAGTGAACCATTAGCGTTATCTGACAGTCGTGCAAAAAAACAATCATTTTGAGTAAATACATTTCACTGCAGTTGTTAAACCATCGTGGATCAATGTCATGAGTTATCGTTTGGACAGAGCGTTCATCAGTTTCCTGGTCTTCTATTGGGCAAGCCCCTGCTCAACAACTTTTCTCGTGTTTTTGGTCAAACTGAATCGTTATTGCGAAAGTTCTGGCAAACCTTACCCCCCCCCCCCCATACACAACCACATTCCCTCCTGTACAGTTTGTAAGCACGGTGTGGGGGGGGGGGGGGGGGGGATGGGGGGGGGTGTGTGTGTGTGCTCACAGGCTTGCATGAGCTGGTAGACGCGGGGTGGACATCCCTCGGGTTGCTCCATGCGGTATCCGCGTTCCAGCCGCTCGTAGACCTGGGAGAGGTCGACGCCGGGGTAGGGGGACATGCCGTAGGTGGCGATCTCCCACAGGAGCACTCCGAAGGCTGAACAAGAAACGGGTGCACAGACGGAGAGAGGGAGCGAGAGAGATAAAGATATATAGATCAATTGCCGAGTGCCTTTTAAACTGTTGAGGGACGTCCGCGAGTGGCTGTAAACGCTGGCACTGCGCACGTATTAGGGTGTGGTGGCACAAGCGTCGTGCCCGTAAGGTATATATTTTTTTTACCCCCCCAGGGGGTGATGTTTGCGCTCCGCACCAAAAACGTATTCAGGCCGAGTCAACCTACTGGAGGTTCCAAGATCCGATCAGATATTTGCTGGTGATGTAAGTTGTAGGTCGATTCTCACTCGTGGAACAAACGCAGGGAGGCACGCACGCCGAGATGTAATAACCGGAGGAGATCTTCTTTGATTCTATTATTTTATTCTCATTCTACGTGACTTTACCGAAAGAACCAAAGAAGATGAATCCTTGCAGTCACGAAAGCTTTAAATCGAAATTTAACCGGAGGAGATTCGCACGCCGCTCACAGCAACATTTGCTGATGGAGCGCAATCGATGTTCCGACAGCTTTAGCCGCATTAAAACTTAAGAAAATGGACTACAACAAATGCCGGAGGCCTTAACAACCGCTAAATATAAATTATTTCCCAAACCTCCGATGAGCACGGTTGGCTTGGGAGGGTGCAAAAGAAGCTCAACACATATACATGCTATGACAACCCACCCCACACGTCGGACTTGATGGAGAACTTGTTGTAGGCCAGGCTCTCGGGTGCTGTCCACTTGATGGGGAACTTGGCGCCGGCGCGTGCCGTGTACGTGTCGCCCGTCATGAGCCGGCTCAGCCCGAAGTCGGCCACCTTCACCATGTGGCTCTCGGCCACCAGGCAGTTCCTCGCCGCCAGATCCCTGCGACGGAGACGGGGACAGGCCGGGTTTCAGCTGTGTGGTGGTGGTGATGACGATGATGCTGGTGATGACGATGATGGTGGTAGTAGGGGAGGGCCTGGAGGTGGCCACGTTTCTCTAGGCGGTCAGATGCGGATCTGGCAGCAGCTGTGATCCTAATGTTTAAAAGTGGGCACTTTCAAACATTAGGTGGGGGTGGGGGGGTTGTACAGCTGTGCTATAGCGAGAACTATCAGGATACTTCGTCTCACAACACGCACCAGATTACATTTTGTAAATGTGCCCTCCCCTTCCATCGGCCAATCACGGCCCTCGCCTACCTGTGAATGAAGTTCTTCTTCTCCAGGTATTCCATGGCAGAGGAGATCTGCGTGGCCATGTGGAGCAGCACCACGGCTGTCACCTCGTCGCGGTTGCACTCGCGCAGGTAGTCGAGCAGGTTCCCGTGCGTCATGAACTCCGTGACGATGTAGAAGGGCGGCTCCCGCGTGCACACGCCTGCGTGCACACGTGTCACAGGAGCAGGCATGCGCTCGTCAGCGGGGAGAAACGCAAGCGCCCAGGGACGCAACGACTCCACTCGTCCCGCCACTTTGCATGTTTACCGATCATTTCCCACGTGCAGCGTGCAAGTACATCATTTGCATGTGGTCAGGTGAGATTGGCGTTCATGCAAACCACGTGGTGTGTCACAATGCCAACCGTGCTGATCAGAGGTGCAGGGGAGGGAGAACAAACTAAACGCACAAAGCGGTTATCGCGTTTAAAGCACTCAAGAGTGTCTCGCCGCAAAGACTCTCATTGTTAACATTTGAAGGTGACATTCTGGTAAAGGCGAGCGTGACGATGGTGGTGGTGAAGGTCGTCCCGTCAGTCACATTTTTAAACACGATCCCGAGCGGGAATCGTCACATTGCTCACCGAGCAGCTGCACCAAGTTGGGGTGTTTGATCTCCTTCATCATGGCAGCTTCTTTGAGGAACTCCTCCACCTCCATCGTGTCCTCCTGGGAAAGAATAACACGGAGTGTTCGAGGTGGATGCATGGTACTGACCTCGCGCGTTACCATCGATACCCAGGAAACTCTGAAGTGAGCAAACTCATTCTCTGGAAGGTCCCCGCTAAGTTTTAGCAGTAGGAAGGGGGGGGGGGGGGGGTGCTATGATTACATATATGTAGATTCCAGTTGAATAATATGCAGGTGATTTTTCAGCATTTGGATGTGTTTGGCCAATACCAGTTACATTCTAAGTAGACATATTTTTTTAGCTTTACTACCGTGATTATTGCAGCTCATTTTGAAAGGAAGTAAACCACAGAGTCTCTGCTGCTCCCAACAGCAACACCACTCTACAGGCGCCCTCACACAGGCCCACCTTCACGAGCGTTATGGTGCGCCGCGAATGGGCGCGCAGAGAATGGTTTAAAAGCTTTCAAGCCTAGTTGCGATGCATTTAAGTGTACATGTACAGCCCCATTGTCAATCCAGGGCTAGATGAAGGCCCCCCCCCCCACCACGCCCTAGGTGGGGGTCATGGAGGTTCTTTGACCAAACTTCACCATGCTGGTCAGTGGGAGGGGGGGGGGGGGTTGGTGACACGATTGGGGGCACAGATGTAAATGACAGTGTTGGTACAACCAATGGGTTTGGCTCCAAACGTGTCCTCTGCTGGCCATCAAGTAGTACCACAGTGGCCAATAGTAAACTGATATGCACGGTGGTTACCAATCCCAAAATTATCCTGGCTCAATCCTGCTTAACTTCCGAGGTCTAACAAGTTCGGGCGCATTCATGTAATTTGGTCACACTCCTGTCAGACTAAGGAAACAAAATCGCACGGTTGCGCTGTTGACACCACCATCACTATTCAGATGTCCACACCAATGCGACACCGTCTACGAGCGAGGATAACAGCAGCAGTACCCTCGCGAATCGCTGTGACCAATGTGTCAGCGGATATGACTTATCTGCCATACACGGGGCCTTCCGCAAGCCGACACGGATAAGAATGACTCAGTCGGGGGCATGTCAACGGCAGCAGCGCAGAGATGAAGACAGTTGGGGGCGTGGTGCTGAAACCGTCGCTAAGTCTCCTTCACGTTATGAGCTGCTAATAGGTGCTCGCGAAAACATCACTTGCCCCGACAGTCTCACTGTACCGAAAGAATGAATGGAATGAATAATACACATGCTCTGTTTAGAAAGCTGAGCCAAGTTCAGACAATCTCTCTTTTGAAAAGGAGGTGTTGGTATGAAAACGGTACATTTGCCAAACCACAGTTAGTCACCAAAAACCATATGAAAGGGTGAAGACTGCAGGAGCAAATTCCTAGGCAAGTCAACATAGGTAGTCACAAATCTGTGTCTGTTTGACACTTCCTAAAAAATGCCACAATTTCGGCAAATGAGATGTAATATAAAAGCCTGCCACTATTAATTAATGTGAACGATGTAGACATTTCAAAGAAAACAAATTTGGCCTTTAACCCAATAATTTGGCTTATATGGACGGACATACTTGGCGCCTCGCTTTCAATTCCCGACCACGGCTGTCAGTGGCGAGCCATATCTGAACAGCACTCCCCCTTCACCAACCTGAAATGACCAACGCGTAGTGAAATATGGTCAAATCCCACCCCCTTGACCAAAGTGGAGATGTGGTGAGACCTTCACCAAGCAGCTGACCGACAAAGGGAACTGTAGATTATTATTATGACTGCTTATTGTACTGAGCAGAGCTTAGGGGCAGTGACTGGTCTAGCGGGAGGGTGCTTAACACTTGTTGTAGCGGTTCACAGTTTGAATCCGGCAGCTGCCCAGGTTTGTCACTGCGGGTGTAGGAGCCGTAAGGTCCCCCAAGACTTAATTTGCAAGAAGTAGGCCATAGTGTGCATTCATCATGGTCCACATTTACAAAAATTACCCACAAGTTACTCAATTGGGCTTACAGGGAGCAATCGTCATACCCTACTGGGACATTTGGCAGGACCCTTTTAAAAATATACTTTATGAGACTCAATGAGGCTTTCCTAGGTAAACAAACGTAACAATTCATAGTAAAGTTTTATTGGGTTAGATGGTGTGAAATAGAAGTGTCACAAACCCACCTCCACCCAACATAGCCTATTAGTAAGGTTTGTTATGTGAACAAAATGCACCAATTAGATACTACTTCCGTAACAATGGCATGTTCGGACAGCAAACCCACAAGTAAAATAAAATGAACAGCCAACAAAATTAAAAACACATGTAATTATTAAACTCCCCGTCTACCAGCGACCCAGAAGAAGCTATTTCTGTGAGAATTGAATCTTCCCCCCCCCCCTCCCCCCCCCCAATGCTCTGCCTCCCTCACCTTGAGAGTCTTGACGGCCACGGTGCGGCTGTACTTCTTCCAGAGGCCCTCGTACACCTCCCCGTACTGCCCTCCGCCGAGTTTGTGTTTCATGGTGATGTCGGTGCGCTCGATCTCCCAGCGGTCGTACGTGGGCGACACGCCGTACACCGTCGGCTTGGTGCGCTTGGGTGCCGGGTAGTGCAGCGGCACGATGAGGCCGTCGGCCACGCTCGAGTGGTGGTGCACCAGCTCGGCCAGCGTGCTGAAGCGGCTCTCCGAGCTCACGAAGTACTGTGGAGGTGGAGAGGTGCAAGGGGGAGGGGGGAGGGGCAAAAGCAAAGGTGCGCGGGTGAGCCAGACGCACACGCGAAAAGACAAACAAGGCCACAGACGCATGTGTGCACATCCACGTATAATAAATGCGATAATACATACACGCTTGCAAAAGGATCTTGACACTCAGCTCTATGAAATTCTCTTATGGCCCCACATGAAGCCACTATTTTACTATTGATAAAAATAAAAATTGCACTGCAAAAGTTTCCAAACATTTCCATTGATATAGTTCTTTATCCAGTGCAGGATATTACCTTGCATTGCAAAGTTTGGCCAAATTAATTTTTCAGCAGCGTTGTGCTTTGCTTTGAAGAACACCAAGATAAGCGGGGTGGGGAACCCACAAGGGAGGATGAGGCTCAGAGGTCCACACAGATGGGTTTATGAACCCACTTGCTGTCACAGCCTAGCGGGTTTCCGAGTTTCACAAGTCGGCGTGTAAATCCACCAACCCTACCCACCACAGCACTGAATTACAGGATGAGGCTCAGAGGTCCACACAGATGGGTTTATGAACCCACTTGCTGTCACAGCCTAGCGGGTTTCCGAGTTTCACAAGTCGGCGTGTAAATCCACCAACCCTACCCACCACAGCACTGAATTACAGGCGTGCGCCACCACGCCCGGCAGAACGTCAAAAGACAAATAATCCAGCTGCGAAATGAGCAATTTAACGTTACTACCAGCAAGGCATGCCTTCCCTTGCTCGGAGCCTATGATCAGCTAGTTCACACATTCGCGCACCAGCCCACGGCTGCAGGCCTGCACCGCGTGTCTTGAGACAAGCCACGACGAGCCTCCAAACCCGCGGAATTCATCGCTCACCCCGCGCCCAACAAATTGAAAGCCCCGCCTCTGCAGCTGCTCTGTGCAGCAAATGACATAGCAGGCTATCTCCTAGCAGCAGCAGGCTATCTCCTAGCAGCAGCAGGCTATCTCCTAGCAGCAGCAGGCTATCTCCTAGCACCAGCAGCCACATTCATCTTGACGTTTCCATGGCTTTGCACTGCTATACATCTTAACATTATAAAGTCCAATAAAAACTATAGCTACCACATTTGCAGTGAAATTCCACCCCCCCCCCACCCCTCTCTTGAGTGTGGATTGAAAAGTAACGCCGACTCCGGGAGTTTTACCCAAGGCTAAGAACGATGAATGCCTCTCGCGCCACTCTGCAGACTCTGAACTTGTTTGACCGTAAACGTGCGTTCACAAATTTGCGTTCCCACAGCCAGTGTCGGGTGGTGGGGGGGTTCGTGTCGGGTAACACTACTACGGAGGTGCGGTATACGTTTGGTAGATGTGTGTTAGTGCAGCACTCCCCGAAGATAAGTACAATACACACGAGTTGATTAATGGAGAGCAAAAGGTGGGACTGTGACCATAAGGTGGGTCCCTTGCAGCATGCCTTACATGTCGCACACGCGACATCACCACACTGCGTGTATAACTGTCGCGGTGCTATTGTGGTAGGTGTCCCACCTTGCCATAGCTGGCCGTGTTGATGCGGTGATGGTAGTGGTCGTGGCTGTGGTGGTGGTGGTGGTAGCGGCGGCCTCACCTTGCCGTCGCTCGCCGTGTTGATGCGGTAGTGGTAGACGCGCCCCTCGCAGCGCAGCGAGATGGACAGCTGCCCGGGGCTGCTCTCCGACTCGCGCAGCAGGAAGGAGCCGTTGATGCCGCTGCTGAGCAGGTACTCGGCGGCGTTGCGCGAGATGGGGCCGTGGTACCACGAGTGCTTCTCCAGGCTGTTGACGGGCGTGATGTAGTTGCTGGGCACCCAGCCCTGGCCGTTGCGGGAGTGCACCTCGCACCACTCGCCGTTCTGGTTGTAGCCGAGCACACGCAGCTTCTCGCCTGCAGGGGGAGGGGTCAGGAGTCGGGAGAAGATGGGAATGAGGACGGGTGTTTTTGACACTTTACTGTTGTGTTTTTTTTTTTTCCCCCCCGTTATCGCTGTCTGTCCGCCAGTAACGAAAGGGACATAACTCTCGTAAAAGATTGTCCGATGTAAACAAAACCTTTGTGCAAAGTCGTGTCGCTATTTGGGACTTGGGAGAATGAAAACTGGCCACCTTCATAAAAGAAAGCGTTGTCCATATTTTGGACATGTAAGCCAGACCAATAAGGACTATTTGCGAATATGTTAATGCATTTTGCCGAATCAGTAACCTTTCCACTTTCGCAACGCTAATTAAATAGTTCCAAAGGAAAACCCACGCTGGTAAGTGTTACATAAGCCATGCTTAATGCATGTGAAATCACCACAAGTGATACATACAAGTTGAAAGCGCCCTGCACTGTAGAAACGGCGTAAATACCAAACGCACTCCTGTCCTTGCTTGGGATCTGACTCGAACCCTTGTATGTACGTTGAACTTCTTTCGCACCGTACGTAGCCAACCGTGCCAAATCGGAGGTGCGGGGAAAGGACAACAAACTAAAACACAAAGTCAGTTCTCCGAGACCTTTGGTGATGCTGAGCGTGTTGTCGCCACTCGCCACGAAGTCATAGAGCGCCACGAAGAGGTTCGTGTCGTCGGGGTCCCCGGGGACGGAGAGGAGGTTCTCCTTGGAGTTCCAGCGCACGGCCTCCCGGAGGCTCGGGCCGTCTCCATCCCCGTCGCTGGGCTGGTGCAGGGCTTCTGGCGGAAGAGAACGCGAGGGGGTCGGGGGGCCACAGTGAAAACGCGGCGCGGTACACGGGTGAGGGGGGGGAATCGTAAATCGCCGATAACGGTTTGAGGGTCGAAGGAGGCGCCGTAGCATTGGGTGCGAGTCACAATGTGACTTCATGTCAAGCGGGTCTGTCCGTGTCAGCGATCCGGGAAAACAAACTTCCTCATCCTGCACACCACCACCTCTCGCTCTGGGTTGTGGCAACTAGTCACGTGCTCACTCCTGCCTACCGGTGACCTGTAAAATTTTCAGAGAAAAACGAATCCCCGGTCATAGGAGACGGTACAGCAAGGAGTTTGCCCACCTACTGTACCGTATTAGCCGTGTAACGATCCGTCTGAAAACAGGATTAACTGTTGCATCGCAAGTTCGTGAGACATGGCTACGACATGGAGGGCCTTCATGCGGCTGAGGATGATGCTGAACGATGCATCAATTCGTAGACCGAAATGAATCATTACACTCCGGATGTATAGATCGGGTGCGTGAGAATCGATTTATTATTTACGATTGCAGCGACTATATGGGGGTGATACACTCGTGTTACATTTAGAATCCGTGAATGAACCAAAGTGTACATAAGATATGAAAAGACAATAAAACAAGACATGGTGTAAATTAAACAAAATAAATGCTCAAATGTCAGCTTAATTTTACATTTTCTCTTATATAGCAGCATTAATGACCAATTCAGTACAGGCAATACGCCCGGTAGCTGCGTTCAAACTCCACACTAAGCAATCTCCACTTTCCACGACGCTATTATTGTTACCTTCCTTCCTTCTTTTCCTTGAGGCCACCGGTGAAACCTGATAGGCGCTCGACTTTTTCCGAAACAGTTTCTTAAAGTAGTTCGACTCCAGCCTGGCTTTTGCGCAGCAAGACGGCGATGGTAGGAGTAGCCGCTGCCTTAACCTCATTCCCAGTGCAAGCTCCGCTCGATAGAGTCCCAACGGAGGCGCGGGCGGGCGGGCGGGCGGGCGGGCTCGCTCGCAGGAGAGCGGAGCGGCGTGACACGAATGGAGCGAGTGAGCTCGCTCGCATCCCTCGAATACCTAATACCTCACACAGCTAACGTCAAACCCACCCCCCCCAACCTTCCGGCGGTACGCCCGTCGGACGCTGGCCAGGGACGGCAACAGATGTGGGACTTTTTCCATGGCAACCGGGTCAACACCGCCGTGCTCGTGGTTTATAAAAAAGAAAGACCTACCCACGCCCGCCCACTCCACCCTAAACCAAACCGCAAGGCCACCGCAGCTTGCAGAGGTCCACAAATCATCGCAGCTTGCGGAGTTCGACAAGCCAACCCACGCAGGGAAATTCTCCCTGGAAGTTTCACTCGGAAGCTGTGACATTATTCACTCCACCTTGCCGAATGGACTGTATTAGACGGTTATTTTCTCACCGCGTGGAAATGACTCCTGCGCACAAACCAGCCTTTCCAGGGTCACAAGGAAATAAAAAGCCTCCTACTCAATGGGCAGTCGTCGATTTGGTAATGGACAAAGAGAGGGTGAACGCGCAAAATATCCATTCGGGGAAACGTCATTCTGCATATAGAAACCGAGGGTCAGTTGCACAATTATATTGGCAACTGTTGTTTGCGAGCACCTATTAAGGCCGGAACAGCACGCAAAGGCGTTGGTGTACCCAACACCAAGCCTGGCCGCCTTCGTCTCTCCAGTGCCGATGGTTACATACCACACCAGAGACTCATTTCGGAAGTCACTGGAGCTAAGCACTTTTAAATCGAGATTGAAAACTAATTTCTTTAGAACTGCTTTTTGTTCAAAAGTTTGTTGCATGTATGTTGAATTTCTTTCGCACCGTGCGTAGCCACTGTACGTAGCCAACCATGCCAGGCTAGGTGCACCGAGGCCACATCTCGCTGGCTGGCGCGCCTCCCCCGTCCCTTGTCTCGGCGCCGGCAGTGGCGGCGTTGCGGGGCGCGCGCGTCAAGTGTCACCGCATGCCGGAGCGCGCGGCATCGAGTCGGCCGCTCCCCGCACAAACCACTCCCTCCAGGGGAACACGCGCGCACGGACACGCGTCGCTCAACGCCCACGCTCACCGTCACACGTGCAAGCATCGTGACGCCAACGTTGACGAACTCTTGAACGCAGCCGCCAGTTTTTGTTTTCCAATCGCATATTTGATGTTTACGACGCGAGATAGCCGTTATTGGTATTTTGCTGCTTTGGTTTGGGAACTTAATGTTTTTGGCTGGAGAGTTCAGTAGCGGTGCAAGAATGCAGGGCTTTATGTCATACCATTGTTGGTTTCAAACAAGGGAGTCCGCGTCGATCGAGCTGGCAGCACGGGACTGGCTGTGATATCACTTGCCACCGGAGTTACAGCCATCGCTGGATATTAAACTCGCATCGCTGAGTTTGCAGAGCAGTGCGGCCAGCACTGCACCGTCGCTCTCACACGGCACACAAAAATAAAGATCTCCCGTATAGCCTGAACAGACTGTCGGGGCAAATGCTGTTAGCGAGCACCTATAAAGGCCGGCACGGCACACGGGGTGGGTGGCCATCATCATGCCCAATCGCCTTTGTCTTCCCAGTGGTCATGTTTACACACTACACCAGGTACTCATTTGAAGCCGAGTCGTCCTAGGGGAGGCCCAGGACCAGTTCAGATATATAATCGTCACTGGTGTAGGCCGTGTGCGGGAATCGAACTCGGGTGGCTGGGTTCGTAGTGCAGCGCACTAACCACTAAACTACCACTCCCCACACATACAACAACAACTGCCATTCGCCACTAAGTGGCGGCGGCATCACCACGGCACTTGTGCCAGGCTATGTGCACGTTAAGGCCACGTGGAGTGTCGAACGCCCGCTGGCAGGAGGTCACGGGACAGAGCCAGGTGCCATGGGTTGACCAACTGAGATGACTGGCTGATGCACCACCTGTGCCCTCTACTGTGCCAACTAACCCCACACAAAGACAGACACACGCGCACATCAACCCACCCACATGACGTCACCGACGCATACACACAAGTGTCACACTCAAATTGCACACCAACACACAAGCGTCCGGTCAATTCAGCGTGGTGAGCGAAACACAAATACCCACCATTGACGAGTCATGTTACTGAACACGAAAGGAAAATCGTGTTAGACATCCACTCTTGCTTGAGCAACTTTAAACACCGCTCGGCACCTACGCGACCCCCCCCGCCCTCCCTTGTTTCGCATGATTCTCCCCGACAAATCGAGCGCGGTCACACAAAACACACGCGTGCCCCGCCACTTGCTCAGCAACGACCCCAACGCTGGCCCCAAATAAATCAGTTTTCGCCTGGCGGGAAATAGCATGGCTCACCATCACATAATAGTGTCAAGAGAGCACTCTTTTTTTTCCATATTTATTTCATCCGAATGGAATCTCCGCAGTGAAGTTTGCTTTCACAGAACGGCGGTTGTGTGAAACGGGGGAGTGGCGAGGGTGGAGGAGGGGGGCGAGAGGCAGTGGACGGGGGTCGATACACGAGGAGTCGAGTTCGACAAAGATATTCATTCATGGGCCAACGCAGCGCTCACGGAGCGGACAGACGCTGCCGGCAATCCGTCCGAGAGGGAATTCCGTTCAGTGAAGCCAAATCGATGAAATCGCCTATAACGAGGTTAAAATCTCATTGGAAAAATGTAGCCTCTATTGCAATCGTGTCCTAGATATAAAGACAACGTGTATACGTATGTATGTGGAGCTTCTTTCGCACTGTACGTGGCCAACCATGCGAATCGGAGGTGCGGACTGAGATCGTAAAGATCGATGGCTATCCCTGCAAACATTATTTTTTCCATGAATAATATAATATATTTTTTGGGTAAAATTCTTGTACCACCTCATTCGTATCGTTTCTTCTAACATTGTATCCTGTTCGTATGACGCTGTTTGATTCAGATTTACAAGTATGTTACATGAGCACATACTTGTAAATCTGCATACAATTTGCACGGGCGGTAAATAGTTATTTACAATAATCGATTATAATCGAATCAATTATAATCGATTCTCATGCTTACGAATCGCGAACGTTACATTTTAGGAACGTGGAGATACACCATCAATTCATAATTTGCGAAAGCGAATTGGGAAATTCATAGAATCGCGGGGGGGGGGGGAGGATACTAAACTTTTTATTTTTACCAGGCAAGGGCCACTGAGCTATATAGCTCTTTTTCAGAAACAACTTGGACACAAATGATAGCACAACAAATTTGCTTATCATGTGGACATTTATAGCAGCCAAACACTGAAAACGCGTGTTTCTAAATGTGCAGGAAAAAAACCCAGAGGACCCGGAGAAAAATCCACGCGACAAAGAGGAGAGAGAGAAAGAAACACGCAAACTCCAAATATATGGGCGCAGGGCCGGAATCGAACCCACGACCCTCTGTATAAAAGGCAAGGTAGTTAACATCTCAGCTTGGTCTTTGGAAACCCACCTGCTGTCCTGCTAGTGGATTTTTATGGGTGTACCATGCCACACGATACAATACGAACAATACCAATGGCATAGCATGGTTGCCATTGGCTCTGATGCAATGAACCAAGCCAGGCCCTCTGTAGCCCGGCACCTGGACCCCCCGCCCAGCACCCAAGGCCCATGGGTCCCAGAGTGCAGTCGCAACCAGCTAGACACTCGATAGACGATGCCACCGAGTGAAAAGTGGCCCAGGCCGCTTCTCGGCATCGGCCAATGAGGAGAGGACAGAGCCATATTAGGCGTTGCGCAAAAATTAAACCGGCTTCGTCAACGGGGCTTAGTCACAGAATCAGAGGGGCGAGGGAGGCTGACGACGGACGGAGTCACGCATCACAAGGCCCTGAGCAACGTTCGGACCTCCCCTCCCACTTCTGCTCGCTATTGGTGGTGGCGGCGTTGAGAAATATAAACATGAGCGACAAGCAGGGCCCTACATTCTTGGTTCTTTCGGTAAAGTCA